AAGAGCATCGTCCGCGCCGGAGAGGATATCAACAATGGTGGCAATAGTTTGCGCTAAAGAGATAGAAGAACTACTAGGTATGGCTGAAGGTGAGGCAGCCGCGAATGCAGAAAGGGATGCGAGAGCAGCATGTGATATAGGGAAAAGAGCGGATAAATGTTTCGTATACTCCTTTTCGTGTGCTATGAGGTTGGACAGGAGACGAGAGTCCGGAGGACGGTGGACCATCAGTTAAAGACACGACAATGTATGATCGATTAGGTCGTGCTCGACGTTGTAGTGCACTGCGGTCAACGGCGAAGAGAAATATTTGGATAACAATGTTTCCAACGAGGCCACCAAGCAGTGGGCTACAAGGCTGTGCGCACCAAACGTCGTAGACTCGTCACTACCTGCGCGTGACCAGTAACATTGAATATTGAACCGCCGCTACTATGTAGGCGTACTACTTACACTTACAGCTACCGTTTAGTACTCCGGACGCTCCGAGTTAAAAATACATCCACATACATGGCCTTCCATCGACGTGTCCGATGCGTGAGTGTTAATTGATTGGTGACTTGGTCCATTCTCAGTCTTCGTCCCTTAATGGGGCAGTTTTATTGTCTCATAGATGTTCAGTCCATTATTTATGATATCTTTTTTCAGTCATATCATTCAGGTGTTCGTATGGGTCCTTTCTTGTTTGATCAGTTGGCAGACCTACGCAATTTGTTGCTACAACATATCTACTTTACGGTGAGTGCATGTCTTCGGACACGTATTCTAAATATCGCGGTCGTACAGCGTGTTGTGAAGTTGCAGGTTTCACCGTTTCAGTTCCTCTTCGGATCTAGTTGATTCCATTTTAGATCAGTTGCTCTCGGCAAACCCATCTGTCGTATCAGGTGCTGATTTTGTGGACACTTGTGAAGAGAATTTGTAGTGATTTAGTATGTAGTCGGTTGTCTGCGTGCTGCTCTCCGCCTAAACGGTGTTCGACTTTGAAGTACTTTATGCTTATGCTGAAATCAGGATACGCAATGCACTACGTTCCTTGTATGCGACAGTCTACAGATGCCTTGTTAATACACTAGGTTGCCCATGCAAGTATTGCGTATCATTATCTGCTCCGTTAGCACAAGCAATCCAGGTATGACTAGTGTCTGTTTGACTGAACGAGAATGCTGCTTATGATGGTAGTCGTCTACCGGGAACATCATCAATTGCATAGATATCTTTCATATTAATACATCTGCTCCAAAGAAAATATTCAGAAAGGACAAGAAGCCTAGCGGGAACGTGAAGTGGATTGTCATAGACGCGGGAAGAACCTTGCGAGAACCGCAAAGCAGCTAGCGTGTGGAGCATGTGCGATGACTAGCGGGGCAGGAGGTCCAGTACTACTTCTGATCTGCAAGGTTACTAAGGTAGTTCCACCGACTGCATTGGATGTCCCTGGTGGTGGTGTGTTGCTGTTTGATGCTCCAGCGTGAGAGGTGTAGGTTATATTGCGAGGAGGACGTTGTGACTTCAGCCGCCTGTCCCTTTTTGCAGTGTGGGCATTAGCGGTGCGCTGCGAGACAATGTCAGCATTACGATGTGGATGTCGAAAGGTCGGGAAAACTTACATGTTTGCCTCGTGTGGCGGAGACGTCCACAGGGGGGATATTGCTTGGGCGAGGAGCATGGCCCTGGGGAGTGGAGGAGCGAGAGAATAGACGATTCATCATGTTTTTGATTCCGGATCCCTCAGCATGGCGCGTGGCGTCGGCGTGATTGTTGCATTCAGGTGAAGAATGTGGATCAAACTATCAAAGGATGGTGAGCTGACGATCGTACAAGACCTTCCATGCGACTGCCACAAGTGTTGTAAAGTGAGTCCTGATAAGCAGGGCTACTCCTGTGGTGGTGTGAGCCTGTCTTCCCATGCTGCCTCTGGAGTTCGAGTGTTCATGTGCTTGTCTAGCATTTTATGCACAGGAGTCTCTGGCCGGGAACGCTGTGACCTAGTATCAATTTGAATATGGCACTGAGTCTGGCTCGATTTTGATAACACATCATCATAATCTAGAGTTATCAAGACTGACCGATGTGTCATGGCACGTTTACGACAACGTCTTAAACGCCAGTAGTCCTGTGGAGTAGTAGAGGATGCCCGGCAGTGCAGTTTGTATTCGGGGTGTGATTTACTGATGATGTGAGAAACGACACTGACAGAAGTAGAGCCTCGAGTGCAAATGGCTCGCAAGGCGCGAGGAGTGGGAAAACAATCTCCTGGCTCCTCCTCGCTGGAGGTTCTATGAAATACTAGTGCACGACAATCCTAAAGACCTGAACAGGATCTAAGGGGAGGCCGCCGTGTGGAGGTAAGCCTTCAGGCAGGTTACTACCTACAACGAAACTTACCCTAAAAGGCCGTTGGTACCTTTTACAAGTGGTGCCAAGGGTGAGCAGGTGGTTGACACCGACCGTCCTAACGCAGCTCAGCGATTCGACTAAGAGATGAGGATGGAGAGAAATTCCTCTGCAAACCGCCTATTTGCGTGTCACTTCATGAAAAGATGCCACGGACTCACGGAGCATGAGGCGGCATCCGGTTTGTCCCTGAGAATACAATGAAAGTGTTTGGTTGCACCATACACTAATCGTGTACAAAAGCCGTGCTCCTCGTTTCAGCCTAGAAAACACCATCAATACTCCACCATGAAATTCACTTCACTCACCACTATTGTCATTTCTGCCGCATCAATGGTTGGAATAGCTATCGCATCTGAAGACTCCATTATCATAATTCCCCAGGGCCCTCCCGAGGGCCTACCCTGTAGCCCCAAGGGTGAACACTCTTGCAGCCTACGTGCAGACCTCAGAACGCGTACTTACAGTTTATCCACAGGTACAGTACAATGCTCGAAGGGCTACCCAAGTTACAACGACAACTACGATTTCGCGTTTTACTGCGGGGATTACCTGACGATCGAAAGAGACATGCCATGCTCCTGCCACAACTGTTGTGAAGTGAGTCATAATAAACAGGGCTACGAGTGCAAGGATGTGAGCTTGTCTTCCCATGATGCCTCTGGAGTCCGAGTGTTAATTTGCTTGTCTAGTAAGCACAAGACTCTCTGGCCGGGAACGCTGTGACCTAGTATCAATTTGGCACTGAGTCTGGCTAGACTGATATTACATAATCATAATCTAACCGATGTGTCACGGCACGTTGACGACAACGTCTTGAACACCAGTAGTCCTGTGGAGTAGTAGAGGATGAATGACACAATTCCCGGCAGTGCAGTTTGTATTAGGGGTGTGATGTGCGCTGTAATGATATAAGTATTTCGATGATTCTTCATAACAGACAGTGACATGGAAGTGTTCGTTTGGTTAATGCTGAAGGGACGAATGAAGAGGCCAGAGGGTTAGCAGGTCAACGATAGACATTGAAATTTAGCAAGCAGTGGACGTAGCATTCGTGTTGGTCGTGGAGGCAAGACAGAATATAACAAAGGTCAGTGCTAGGGGCTCCTCAGGGTCTTACATACGCAATTGCTCGTGCTTTGAGGTGACGCAACTTCCGGGAACCGGACGAGGACTAGGGACGGGTAGTGTTATGGGCAGAGCTCTGCCATTCTGCCACGTGGCAGGGCAGAACCTCCGAGACATAATGTAGCAGGACTCCTGCATATGCACAACCAGTTCAGTGTATGATAGCATCAATTGAGAAGCTTTAAGACTCTCTAAAACGGCTACGAAGTCCGGAGGCCAGCGAGCTCTGAACGCGCATTGATGTTTCGAGCACCTCACGTGCTAGCCTTCGGTATCATATATCCACCTTGGGAATAGCAAGTCAGCGCAATGTCACGCTCGTCGCTCACATACATACAAACAAACTTTCAGGCAGTTATACAGAGATTGCCAAGCAACCCAGATCGACTTTGCATTTTGTTTCTTCACAACAGTCTCTCCGGTGAGAATGGTCCTAAATTGATCTTGCTTGATGAGATTGATGCCGAGGTTGCTCGACTCAAAGATATTCGTAACGCAGAAAAAGTGATGGGCATGGAGTTTGCCTCAGACTGGGACATAAATGGAAAGGAATTTTTATAAGAAAGAGCACTCGAAACGAAGATGGGAAGATTCTATGTTGCTATCGAGTGGTAGCACGATCTTCGCAAAACATGGTTCTGCCAGGTTCTGCCGCCAGGACTACCTTAGAATAGTTCTGCCCACAACATTAGCCCGGTCTGGTCACTCATTTGCGTGTCACTGCGTAAAAGAAAGTGAAGGAATGCCGCAGAGCATGAGGGAGTATCCGGTTTGTCCCTGAGCATACGACAATAAAAGTGGTTGGTTGCACCATACACTAATTGTGTATAAAAGTCACTCTACTCGTTTCGGCTCAGACAACTCCACCATGAAATTTACTTCACTCACCACCATTGTCATTTCTGCCACAGCAATGGCTGGAGTAGCTATCGAATCCGAAGACATGACGGTAACACACGTGGGCCAATCCTGCGACTCCAAGTGTGAGCACTCTTGCTGCCTACGTGCAGACCTTAGACTGTGTACTTACGGTTTATCCACAGATCCAGTGCAGTGCTCGGCGGACCCCAAAGGTTGGAACAACAAGAATGATTTCGGGTTTTACTGTAGCCCTACAGGCACGATCCTATCAGTCACACCATGCGACTGTAAAGACTGCTGTACCGTGATTGATGATGGAAATAATTTCGTCTGTCATCATGAGGTTCTGTCTTTCGCTGCTGCCTTTCAAGTCCGAGTGCTAATGTGATTGATTAACAGCCTGGGCGTAAAGGACATCTGTGATGTAGAATCAATATTAATTACCTTGGTCGTACAAGGTCACTCTCCGATGACAATTTTGTGGTTGTGGTGTTCCACAACGATTCAGATACACCCGTGCGAAAAGCTAAATAATTATCATAAACATTCACTGGTGCAGTTTGACTCAACGCCAACATGATACTCCTTTGTTCTTATCGTTCTCCAGTAGCAACATGTCAGGACCTCTCACATCACAGAATTCCCCAATGTTATCGCCAGATACAGTTCCAGTCGCTCGTCATACCTCACAATCTGATTATCGCACGGGGGATCTGAAACTAGGCCGCATTGCGGTTCTCGCTGATTTGGGAAGGTATCTGCAGGTTCCATTCAATTGCCTGGTGAAATGTGTTGGTGCCGGACCCTCTCAGCCGGATCTGCAGCGGATACGCAACAACTTGACAAAGTGCGAGATTCTCACCGACGACGAGAGTGGCTTGCGATGGACAGACTTTACCCCACCTGCCACATCGAAAGAGTCCGAAGAGAATGCGTTTAAGCCCCTCGGTCGCATCATCGCTGAAATTTTGGCGGAAGTCCCGGAACACGGAGTGTCCTTTGTAGCGAACCCAAATGAAACACCCCTCTCGCAGCGCAACAATACTTCCAGGCCTGATGGATACCTTGTACGTAGCAACGAAAAAACCGAGCCCAAGATCCATTGGTTCGATATTGCTGTGCCATTCGAGTTCAAGAAGGGACGGGATGTTGAGTCTCTCCAAGATGTAAGTTGTTACAGATCTTGTCGGCATCCGCTCATAAAGCCTACTCTAGGACGAACAGAAAATAATCTGGAGCCTTCACAATATCATGCGCGAGGATCCTCTTCGTCGGTTTGCGTTTGGTATCACAATCGAGGACACGCAATTGAGACTGGCTCAGCAATTGCGCGCTCCTTGCGGTTACAGAACCTATCAACTTTTTCGAGGTACGCAAACATATCGCGTTAGTGTTAGTGCGCTAACAGGCATGTCACATCTAGAATATTGATGGTGTTATCTCGCTCTTTTACGCTCTTGGATTTGTGAAAGAGCTCGGATGGGACCCCACTGTCGAGCGGATCCTTGATGGGGAGGTTTTCCAATACAAGTTCACTTTCGGGGACGAAGTGTTCATCACGACACGTGAACTTGCAACTTATGGCGCAGACTCTATGGTTGGGCGTGGAACTCGTGTGTACGAAGCTATGGACGCCGAGGGAAAGAAAGTTGCCGTCAAAGATCCATGGAGAGACGCTGGACGTCAATCAGAGGGCGAGATCCTAAAAAATATTTTTGCTTCCTGTGCGAAGAAGCTGCAACCGGATGAGTTGGCGAATGCCAAGAGGCACTTCGTTGGAGTCCGGCTTTGGGAGAGTGTCATGATCAATGATACCCTAGACATGACGCTGGACCCTACGGTTGCAGAAGAGCCCAATCGTACCTGGAAGTGGGTGACCATCAACCCCAATCCTAACCTCTCCACGAAACCACATTTATCTAGCAAAGGCAACGTACCCGACTCTGGTCGGCTGTCTGCCTTTCGTCGCACACAATTGGACATTATTGCGCGACAAGACACTGGCATCCCACGCAGAGTCCATACTCGCACTGTCTTCCACGATGTCGGAGTCGCTCTCAAGGACGTCACCTCTTTGGCCGATAATCTGACTTGCTTGTCCGGTGCACTTATGGGTGAGCAAACCACTGTCACTCTCCTTTCCTCAATCGCTCATTCAACCTTAGGCTTGTATTATTTGCACAAAGCAGGCTGGGTTCATCACGATTTCAGCGTCGGGAACGCAATTTGGGCCGAGGGTGAGGGGAAGTTGAGTGACTTCGAGTACGCGAAGGAGATAGATTCAGACACTTCTAATGATGTTCGAACGGTAAGATTTTTTGAAGATGATCTCTTTCACTGTTAACTCGTTGACAGGGAACAATGCATTTCATGGCGGTGGAAGTAGAAATCCAGAGTTACATTTTCTTCCCACGTGCCGCACGCAATCTGGACCGACCTTCATTTCGCATGAATTTCCTGCACGACATCGAATCCGTATGGTGGGCTTTTACCTGGATTTTCCTTTATTACACGGACACGAAGACGGCGAACGCCGACCATTCCTTTGATGCGCATGCTCAGTTGGAAAGATACCATGCGGCCTTCCCTGGTACGGTCGGCCAGACATCACGCCATTTTTTCTTCACCCTCACTGGACGAAAGCAGTTTGAGAATCTCCTTACAAAGACGTGCTTTGATGTTTGCGGCCCTAGTATTCCTGATTTCGCAGACGCTCTCCGACTTGGCTATGAAAAGGCGGAGGCAGGGTTTCCCTCGCTAGTGCTTGACGATACTCTTCTGAACGATATGCACACAACAGCGGCAGCATATCTTAATGATGCGCAACGGCGTGCTGGTGGCATAGAACTTTGTCCGCTCTCCAATCTCCTGAAGCAGAAGAGGCTTAGACCGGGAGATGAAACGTCCCCTCCGCCACAATATAAAGGGAAGAAGCCGCGACGTGATTGATCCCCCATTGTTTGTACAAGAAAGAACCAGGAGATGGTAGCTTGGCGTCTCGTATACGCAGCTGTGACTTCGTGGTTACAAATAATAGGAATATTCATAGTACTGTTTCCAAGAAGGATTTACTGGAAGATGGCACAATCATGCTGATCAGAGTTTCTGTTTGTAAGACTCCAGACGACGAGGACGTATTCACCGTGGATGAAGACAGCGCTCTGGTCCTTTCCTACTTGAGGGAGAAGGACCATGGAGCACCCACTCCATGGTACACTCGTAGGTGACAACGACAATCCATTCAGCGCCTCTGAAGCATCTTCCTTCTTCACTTCGACCTCCCCACGAGGCAATCAACTTTCTGTCATTCCTAAACTGCCCTTCCAGTTTCTTGACGCGCGCCCGGGTATTCATAAGCTCAGAACCCGTACTTTTCAATTTTTCACGCAGGAGATCGGCCACCTGTTGGGCTGCACGCATGACGTGTGGTGCTGCTTTCCCATATGGGGATGTGACTCACTCCCAGTAAGTTCAGATTGTAGCTTGGTTACAACTGTCCTCGTCTTGCCCACTTTGGACAGACGCCCGTCAAGAAATACTTCAATAGTTCGAAGTTACAACCTGATAAGAGCAAAGATAACAGCTAGGAGAATAGACTGACCTTGGAGGCCGGTACGAGCGGCATCCCGAGGCTCCTTAAGGCTTTTCATGGTTTTTCGAGCATCGTTCACCGAGGTAGACAGTGGTTGAAATTGAACCCGTAGTTCCTCACAAGAATCTTTGAGTCCGACGTAGCTGCATGAAATTCTACCCATGATTTTGCAAGTCCATTAGAGTTAAGGCTGGGTTATGGTATATCTAAAACAGCCATATTGCGCAAATATGCACATGTCAGATTTGCGTGAAATGGACCCCTCATATTGCGCAAATATACAAATGTCAGATTTGCGCAAAATTGACCCCTCATATTGCGCAAATATACAAATGTCAGATTTGCGTGAAATGGACCCTTCATATTGCGCAAATATACAAATGTCAGATTTGCATGAAATGGACCCCCCATATTGCGCAAAAATACAAATGTCAGATTTGCGCACAATTGACCCCTCATATTGCGCAAATATACAAATGTCAGATTTGCGTGACATGGACCCTTCATATTGCGCAAATATGCAAATGTCAGATTTGCGTGAAATGGACCCCCCCATATTGCGCAAATATGCACATGTCAGATTTGCGTGAAATGGACCCCCCATATTGCGCAAATATGCACATGTCAGATTTGCGTGAAATGGACCCCCCATATTGCGCAAATATGCACATGTCAGATTTGCGTGAAATGGACCCCTCATATTGCGCAAATATGCAAATGTCAGATTTGCGTGAAATGGACCCCTCATATTGCGCAAATATGCACATGTCAGATTTGCGTGAAATCAACCCCTATGTTGCACAAATATACAAATGTCAGACTTTTTGAAATCAACCTCTCATATTTTGCAAAAATACAAATGTCAGATTTGCGTGACATGGACCCTTCATATTGCGCAAATATGCAAATGTCAGATTTGCGTGAAATGGACCCCCCATATTGTGCAAATATGCAAATGTCAGATTTG